GTTGTTAATAATTGTGAATTTGCTGTCCTTTTACTATATATGTTTTTTCCTTATCTTCTTTTCTTAGATAAGTCCCTTTAACATTTCATAAAATAAGGGCTTGGTGATGATGAACTCCTTTAACTTGACCTTATCTGAGAAGCACTTTATCTACCCTTCCATTCTAAATGATAGCTTTGCTGGGTAGAGTAATCTGGGGCGTAGGTCCTTGTCTTTCATGACTTGGAATATTTCTTTCCAGACCCTTCTTGCCTGTAAGGTCTCTTTTGAGAAATCAGCTGACAGTCTGATGGGAACTCCTTTGTAGGTTACTGTCCCCTTATCTCTTGCTGCTTCTAGGATTCTCTCCTTCTTTTTTACCTTGGCTAATGTAATTATGATGTGCCTTGGTGTGTTCCTTCTTGGGTCCAACTTCTTTGGGGCTCTCTGAGCTTCCTGGATTTCTTGGAAGCCTATTTCCTTTGCCAGATTGGGGAAGTTCTCCTTTATTGTTTGTTCAAATACGTGTTCAATCTGTTGCTTTTCCCCTTCCCCTTCTGGTACCCCTATAATTTGTATGTGGGAACGTTTAAAAATGTCCTTGAGGTTCCTAAGCTTCTCCTTGTTTTTTCGAATTCTTATTTCTTCATTCTTTCCTGCCTGGTTGTTTCTATCTTCCTTCTGGTTCACTGTATTGTTTTGAGACCCAGTTTCCTTCCCTTCGCTATTGGCTCTCCTCCGTGTATCTTCCTTCATCTCTTTTATGGTGACCTGCATCTTTTCATCTAATTTGCGCCCAAAAGCAACCAATTCCGTGAGCTTTCTGATCACCAGTGTTTTTAAACTGTGCATCTGATAGATTGGCTATTTCTTGGTCGCTCAAAAGGATGAGTCCTGGGGAACTGATCTGTTCTTCTGTTGGAAACATGTCTCTCCCTGTCTCTCCTTTTTTTTTTTTTTTTTTTTTCCGGTCAGGTAGCTCTTGTTATGGTAAGGGGCAGAGCCTTAGGTGTTTACCTGGGCTGGGCACCCCAGTTGCTAGATTGTGACGTTGTATGTGGGGACGGGGGCGGGAGGGAACAATGGCGGTAGCTCCGTTCTCCCGGGAACACAGTCCCTTCTCTGGGATCCTGGGTTGTGGGCTCTGCCCTGGTCCACAATCGCTGCTTCACTGGGTCCGCCAGCCTCCGCTTGCGCACTCACACCGCTGCGATCTTTCATGCTCCGGCTGGCTCACTCGCCGAGTTTGCGCCCAGTTCGCGCCGAGTTCTCCCCATCACCACACGCTGCTGCCGACCCGCGCCTGCCTGGCTCCGCCCTGCCTACCTGTCTGGGTGAACGGGTCTACTTCAACTTCTTGGCTGTCCGACTTCCATTCAGATAAATTCTCTGTCAGTTCTGTGTGTTATTCTGGCTTTAAATTGTTGTTGTTCTAATCTTGGTTGTACGTGGAGGTACGGTGCGTCCACCTATGCCTCCATCTTGCCGGAATTGATTTCCTCAGTTTCTTACTTACAAAATGGGGAATGATAATAAAATCTATCTCAGGGATTATGGTTAGAATTAAATAAAAATCCACAAAAGGAGCTGTGCAGTAGTGCCCAGCACGTAGTAATCACAGAGATGGTAGAGATTATATAGGCTTTCAAGTGATTCCATTACTCTTTTTGAATATGGACCTTACATGCTATGTGACTTGTAAATCGCCTTTGGGATTGATTTGGGAAGCATGCAGTCCTGGTAGAGGGGTTTCCTCACTCGTCAGTAGGCTCACAGGCAGTGTAGAACATACATTTTCATCTGCAGAAGACTGCCTGGGGCTGCGGTGAACTGACCCTGCTGTGTGCTCTCTCCAGGTGAAGAACATCATTTATCACGCAGTGAAAGATGCTGTCGGCACCCTCAAGGCTCATGAATCCAAACTGGCAAGGTCTTAGGCGTGAAGAAAGTCCAAACTCCCCTGTGAAGCAGGTCTTTCACCCACACACACACACAGGGAACGGCGGGGTGCTCTGCTGGAGCAGAGGCCCGTCACTCGGAGCCAGTGTGGTCAGTATTACAAACTCTCCAGCCACTCTTTTCTACGCTGCCTCAACACTGAAGGTGGACACAGGAAAGTCACTGTTCACACACACAGTTTCAGACTCCAAGCCGAGGGTGCCACATTCCCATCCTGTGGCCTTTTGGGACTCTGAATCGCCTGAACATCGCTGGGCTTTCCTGCACAGTCTTGTGATTTGGGATTCATGGAAACCAGGAATGTGGGCACACTTTTCTTTTCTTTATCTCTCGTGCCTAGTTAAGTGGGAATGTCTGGAGGTATGGGGAATCACATAATTGGTACAAGTAGGGGCTAATTGTTTAAACATGCCTGGTGGAAGCCTGGCAGTGGCTCTGCATGTGACCTCTGACACAGCCCACCCCAGGAGACAGGGTGAAGCCATTCCCCACAATCTCTCCCGGTGAACACTGGAGTCTTGCAGGACCCGGGGAGGACCCACTGCTTTTCCCAGGAGGCTCCAGGATTAGGAAACGTGTGTATTTAGTGAAAAATAGGTTTGTAGTGAAATAGTTACTATTTCATGAAAGTAGATATTTTTAGAATTTTTGAAATACCACAGTTGTTTTCCTGGATTATGAGGAAAGGCACATTACATTTAGTCTTCCTTTCAATAAAATTCTTTGAAGAAATATGATTTTTAGAAATCAACTGCCCATTATAGCACAAAATCAGCCAAAGCAGAATTTACAAGAATTGGCTTTTTAGGATTCTTTTAGTGTCTCCCCCTCCCATCTCAGTCCTGTCTCGAGGGAACAGCCATGTGAGAAGGAACTTCGTCCTGTCTGAGCTGTTGTGTGTGTCACACACACACACACACACACACACACACACACACACACACACACGTGACTCCACAACGATTGCCAGCGTTCCCTTGGGGCTCCTCTTAACAGGTCCAGATGCAAAGGAAAGTTTGTTTTCCTACATGAGGCTTTTTTTGTTTTGGGGGTTTTTTTGTCCAGAAATATTTTCAACAAAACTTTCCAACTCAGTGGAGTTTTATTAAGAATTTATTTGAAAACAATGGAATTCATTGGCCCACGGGTACATTGGAAAATGTATCTGTCTCCTTTCTGGCTGTACTGTAGTGCCCCGCAGGCTTGTTTATATGTTCACAGTTACTTTTTTTTTTTTTTTTAATAAAAGTCATTTACTGTAGAATACTTTTAATTTCACTTTCTGTACTTTAATTTTGTTGAAGGGCTGATTGGGATTTCCATGTTCTTATTAAAAATCTAACAAATTTGTTTGGAGTGGACTAAATTCTTATGCCAGCCATTCCGAAAAGCAAGGTGGTGTTGGAAGTGAAGGATGGTTCTTTTTCAGGTCTTCATTATGTTGCTGCATCTGATTAGTGCGCTTTGCTTCCGAATTTGTTCCCAGTTGGGAGAAGCAAGTGCCAGGTCATTGTGGTTTGAGGGCTTGTGGTGAGGGGAAAGGGGCCACATGAGTTAGAGGATGGGAGGAGAGATAGGGTCCTTTTTTCCTAGGGCAGTCTAGGGGAAAGGCACAGGGGGGGTGGCCCAAGCAAGGTTTGGGGCACCAGTGGTGAGGTTCCTCAAAGCAGGAGGCCCACATCTAAAACGTGGCTCTAGATCCACCTTGGAGTTGGTGGGAGAAAACCCAAATGGGGTTTATTTCTATCAAACAGCAATGAAAGCGGCTTGAAGAGCTAGGAAAAACTGTATTTTAATTAGAAAAGGCCTTCTTAAGAGGAGGTTGTAAAGAATAGCAAGAGGGGTCATTAGAGTCCACTTCTCTGGAGCCCATTGGAAAACGTGTTCCAAAATGTTTAAGCCTGGAAATACAGTTACTGGGGTGGAAATAGATCGTGTGGTTCAAAGATACCGAGGATGAATAGAACCATAACTGAAAATACAGAGCCCTGAGCATGTTCTTTCAGCCTGGATGGGCCTGGGTTGATGCTGTGATCACCAGAAGGATTACATCCCCACAAAACAGTAGATGACTGCAGGGGCTTTCAAATGGGACAGGAAAGGAAAGCGACGGGGAGAATGGGAGTTGTGGAGATTGCAGCTTTGTTGCTTCAGTGAAAATCAGGCGCAGGGTAGGGCTAGCCTACATTCTGGATATAAATGTCTTCAGAATTAGGGCATACACAGCCACCAGTGCTAGCTGATGGGGGTGGAACCGGAGCCCCTGGAACCACCTCCAACCGAGGCCCCAGGCCTTCTAAGGAGGTCTAACTCAACCTCCTGTTCCAGGGTACTCACCTTGAGCCCACAGGGCTCCCCTGCAAAACTTAGGAACAACCCTAAAACAGCTGGTCAGATTCTAGTGTTACCTTCCAACTGGGGTTGGGTTTTTGTTTTTTTAAGAGAGGGGAAGGGGGAGAGAGAAACAAGTGCAACTACACCTTAAACGTCGTTCTCAGGTAGCTGTCTTTACAGGACCTGTGGTGTGGGAGGAGGGTTTGCTGGTTAGCGGTTGGGAGAAGTAGCCTATTTAAAGTAGACTGCATGGGTACATTGCATATCTTAGAAGCGTGACTTAATGGTTCTGTGACACTTGGCAAATTACTGAACCTCCATATTTTTTCACATTTCCCAACTTTGAAATAAGGGTAATTATAACCTCTGCCTTAGAGGACGGTCGTGAGGATTTACTGATAGAACGAACGCACGTGAAGCTCTTAGCATGAGGCTTGGCACACAGAAAGCACTCAAAGTCAGCTGTTCCTCCTTGTGGGATAGTTAAGCCTTTCAGCCCAACGTGTGCAGGGCGGGAAAAGGACTGGGGTGTCAGGATGGAACCGTGAAGGCCTCTGAGGACCTCAGCCAGAGCTTGGAACCCAAGAGAGGTGAACAGATTTCAGGGAAGAGGGCCGGACGTTGAGGGTCAAAGGCGCATGCCCGGCGACAGCAGGTGCGGGGGGCGCGGCGGCCTCCCCTTTAAGAACCGCCGCCGCCCACGGCCGGCCGCTGCGGCAGGGACCTCCCCTTTAACGGCGGCGGCTCGTCGCTCCGCGGCCCCCGCGGCGGCTGCTGCTGCTACTGCGGCTTCTGCTGCCGCTGCCGCCGCCGCCGCCGCCGCCGCCGCCCGACCTCCGGCAGCTGCATCCTCGGCCGGGCGGGGTCCCCACCCCGCGCCCCGCCATGGTGTCCTGGATCATCTCTCGCCTGGTGGTGTGAGTGCCGCGGCGGGTGGGAGGGGGAGGGGGCCGCGGGTACTGAAGACCGGGGTGGACCACTCCGGGGCTTCATACAGCACAGTCACCTAAAGACACATCGTCCCTATTTGGGATCCCCAGAGACATCGAGGTGTGGGACCCAGGACTGGGAGCGAATATGGAGAGGAGAGTGGCAGGCCTGGCTTCCCATCCCTTTTATTTTTAATTTCCCTGCTCCTTCTCCCTCCCTCATCCTAGGGCTGAGCAGCATGGTTTGATTTATGGGGGGAGGCGGGCATGTCCCTTCCCCTGCCTAGCATATCTGGTCTGGAGGAGCTGCTCAGGCCTGGGCCCTCGTCTCCCTGGAGAGAAGGAGCTGATGGAAGAGTGGGGAGCAAGGCAGGGCCTCACCGTTCCCCAGTTTAGGGCCGTACATAGCGGCAGCCTTGGCCTCCCTGAGGGCCCGGGTCCCTTTTCCCCCTTCCACTGGCTGTCAGGAGAGGGGGGATGAGGGCACGTGCTCTGAAGGCCCCTGGGGCGACATCTGGGTTTGGGGAGGCAGAGATGCTTGGAGGACAAAGTGTGGGAGGTAACTGGGAGAGGATGTGTATGCTCAGCTGGGGATTGTGAAAACCACGGAAGGGACGGCGCTAGGTGGCCTTCATTCCAGGCTGCCAGCCATGTCGGGGAGCTGTGTCACTGCCACCTCCCCCAGGTCCCAGGAGGGAACCCTGATCCCACAACCCCAGACTTTGCCCTTGAGGACTCCACCCCCACCCCATCTCCACAGGCCTGTCCAGAAGTATCCTGCCTCGGTCCATGTGGGAACAGGCAGTACCCACTATGTTGTCAAAGGGTTCAGCCTGGCAGGGGCTCCACATGGCCTCAGCCAACCCCTGCCTCATCTCAGGACCCAGATCCTCAGCCTCTACCATGGGGGACTGACACTTCCCTGCTGCCTTCCATTCAGTGTTGTCCTGTGCTGTGTCCTGGCTTCCTCCAGACACACTGGTATCTCCTTCCCTCCTCTTGCTCATCCCAACCCAGAGGGAATCCAGGGGTCTCAGTTCATGTGGCCTTCAGGTGGCTGCTTCTCTCTTGTCTGGATGAGCCCCCGAGAGGCATTGGTCCTCTTATCCCCTCACCTGAGACCTGTACATGATCTCTAATGGGATCACTACCAGGTCCACTCCCGCCAGGGCCCCGAGACCAAGGCCTTCCCCAAGACTGGTCCCAAGAGTGTTTACATGGGGGAGTGAACCTCTCTGCCCCTCGAAGGGCCTCCTGCCCCTATGCCCTCTGCCCCTCAGGGCCACAGTGGTGCCTCTGACTGCCAGGTAGAGGGGCCTATAGACAGTGTCAGGTCCCCTTGCAGACCTGGCCCTGCCCAGCCTGGCTCTGAGATGGAGGTAGAAGGCAAGGGCAGATGGGTATGAATGGACATGGTGTTTGCAGAAGGAAGACACCCTTGTGGCAGTGACTAGACCCCACTCTGCATATATGTTTGTGCATAACAAGGGTCATGGCCAAAGGGACCACACTGGACCCTCTGGGCTCTGGGTCTTTCTGTATCTCAGGGGGCTGGAGAAAAACCGAACAGTGGTGGGGAAGGAATGTCACCTTAGCTGGCTGGGACCTCCATGTTTGTGTATCACCTAAGGGGTTTTTGTTTGTTTGTTTGTTTTTTATTTTAGAGAGAGGAAGGGTGGGGAGAGAGAGAAATGTCCAATCCCCACCCCCATTATTTATGCATTCATTGGTTGATTCTTGTATGTGCTCTGATCTGGGATTGAACTCGCAACCTTGGCATATCGGGATAATGCTATAACCAACTGAGCTACCCTGGCAAGGCTCACCTGAGTCTGAGTCTTGGGTTCATCAATCCAGTTCCTGTTGCTTACCTGGGGACTGATGCAGAACTGGGAGGGTGAGGCCACTGCTCCTGGTGGAGGGGCCCAGTAACCATGCCTGCCTCCCTAGGCTCATCTTCGGCACCCTGTACCCAGCCTATTCCTCCTACAAAGCTGTGAAGACAAAAAACGTGAAGGAATATGTGAGTGTATGACCCTTCAGCACCCACCCAACCCACACGGTAGAGGTGGGGGGCGCAGAGGGTCACAGAAATGGGGTGACTTTGTATTAGTGCCATTGGCACTAATGAGAACCTGGTCCAAAGGAGGTTCCTATGTGTTCCCCCCTGCCTGGGTGTCACCCTCAGGCACAGTCGAGGTCCTGAGTGTGTCCCTTCCCCCACAGAACCCCTAGCATAGCTGGCAGTCAGGGGCCCCTCAGGCCCCAGCCAACACTGCCTCTGTGCCCGCAGGTGAAATGGATGATGTACTGGATCGTCTTTGCCTTCTTCACCACGGCTGAGACGCTCACAGACATCGTGCTCTCCTGGTGAGGTCCAGCATCCCTCCCTGCGTCTCGGGGCCCAGGGCCTCTGACTTCCTCTCCCCACCCAGCCAGGCAAACAGAAGATTGAGACCCAGGGTAGAGACCACAGTTCTATGGGATTCTGAATGCCTGCCTCCAGCCCAGGCCTAGCTTGATCAGCAAAACAAGAGCAAACATACCCTTCACAGTTCTTTCTGGTGGCAGCCAAAGCACCACAGTAGAATCTAGGAAAGCTCTTTCTGCCAGGCTTACTTGGATCTACGGCAGGTCACAGCTCTCTAGACCTCAGTTTCTCTATTTGTAAATGATTCAATCCTGTACACATTGGATACTCGTACTTCAAAGCCCTTTTCCAGACACAATTGGACTATGTATGAACACTATGAGAACAAGGAGGGAATGTCTTAATCTTCTGTATATTCACAGCAGGAGCTCAGGAATGTTTACTGAATGGGCACATACATGCCTCTGGGAAAAGAAGACGAACATGGCACACACAGTCCATTGGAACCACAAGAAGAGAGTTTTAGAGAGAGGCAGAGGACAAAAGATCACTGCATTTGTAGGCTACACTAAGTCCTCACTTAACTTCATCAGTAGGTTCTGCAACTTTAAGCAAAGCAGTGTATGACAAAACTAGTTTTATTGTAGGCTAATTGACATAAATAAGAATTAAGTTCCTACACCATCTCACCAATGTTATAATAAAAGGACATTGAAGAAAAGGATGTTATTCCTGGACCTATAAGAGCCTATGGCCTTTGAGAAAAATAATGTTAGCAGAAGAAGGAAAGTGGGTTGAAAATTGAGGACAGTGAGTATAGATGCTTCTCGACTAGCACAAGCAAAGGAGAGAACTTAGATGGAGGCCTTGTGAAACCTGCCGGAAGGAGTTGGGGACCTGAGAGAGGGAACATGGGGAATGGGGAATAATCCTTACAATCGAGGGGCATGTCTTTGCAGCCAGGGATCGGATCCAGAGCACAGCTGGAAAGGCCCTGTCTTCATGGGAGGGAGGGAGGGGAGAAAAGGGGGGTGAGGACACAGTAGCCCTAGAAGGTTAGGGAGCACACCTTAGTGTTTGCCCCAGGACAGAGGATTAGGGGGGGTCTTCTGTTGGAGTGAGAGCGCTGGAACTCCCAAGAGAGAAGAGGGCAAGGGAGCCACTGCTGAGGGGACTTCCTGCTGGGCTCACTTTTCACCTTCTCACTTGGGAACTCAGCTGAAGCTCCCAGCCCCCTTGAGATTAGAAATGACTGGTCTCCTGAGCCACATGGAGACCCCCCACTAACGGGTGGGGGGGTGGCCAGAGTCATGCTGGGAATCAGTGCACCTCCTGACTCCCTGCCCTGAGCTCTGCTGCTTGCCTGTATCTCCCCAACAGGTTCCCTTTCTATTTCGAGCTCAAGATTGCCTTTGTGATATGGCTGCTGTCCCCCTATACCAAGGGCTCCAGTGTGCTCTACCGCAAGTTTGTGCACCCGACACTGTCCAACAAGGAGAAGGTTTGCTCCCACTCGGCTCCTCAGCCGGCCCCAGGCCACTGCAGCCCAGTGCCTGCAGCCCCTTATATTCCTGGCCCTCCCTGAGGGTACCCAGAGCCTGAAGTGTCTGAGCAGGGCCCTGGCCCTCAGTAGGCAGTGCCTTTGTCCACTGCCTACTGGGCAGAGCCGGGCCTGGCCGAGAGGGCTTGCCCTCACCTCTCCCCCTTTCCTCTCCGACCCCTCAGGAGATTGATGAGTACATTACACAGGCCCGAGACAAGAGCTATGAGACTATGATGAGGGTGGGCAAGAGGGGCCTGAATCTGGCCGCCAATGCTGCCGTCACAGCTGCTGCCAAGGTGAGATGGGGGGCAGGCCCACGCTCCTGGGGCCCCAGCTTGTCCATTACGTCCTGCTGCTCTGGCCCTTCCGCATCCACCCTGTCCTCACGGCTGTGAAGTTTTGGAGCTTGTACAGCTTGGGGTCCCAGTCCTGGCTCTGCCACACTCCAGCTAAGTGACTCCCACTCTCCGAGCCAGTTTCCTCATTTATCCAAACGGGAAGCATGGCCCAGCCTGCCAGTGCTGCCTTGGGACGGCATGAGGACGGTGTGGGGAAGGCACCGAGCCCAGTGGGTTCCCAGTGCCCCATGGTGACCTCTATCTCCACCCCGCCCCTTCCTCCGGTGCTCCCGGTGCGTGGTGGTGACCCTAGGGCCAGGGGGTGCTGTCAGAGAAGCTCCGAAGCTTCAGCATGCAAGACCTGACCCTGATCCGAGACGAGGACACACTGCCCCTGCAGGGCCCTGACGGCCGCCTCCGCCCCAGCCCCAGCAGCCTTCTGGACACCATTGAGGACCTAGGTACAGGCCAGGCCCACAGCTGGGCAGGGGGCACAAGGGCAAGGAGGTGACCATGTGTGAGAGGCACCGGGATCGCTGTTCTCTTCTCCCCATAACCAGGAGACGACCCCACCCTGAGTTTAAGGTCTGGCACAAACCAGGCAGATTCCCGGACAGAGCCCTCTGAGGATGATGTGGGAGACAAGGCCCCCAAGAGGGCCAAATCTGTCAAAAAAGTGCCCAAAGCTGAGGTGAGAGCCCAGAACTTGGGGAGGTGGGGCAGGGCTGTGGCTCCAGGCTGATCACTGTCTGCCTTCCTCCCCCCTCCCCACAGCAGCCACTGGCTTCCAAGACACTGAAGACCCGGCCCAAGAAGAAGACCTCTGGTGGGGGTGACTCAGCTTGAGGTCCAGACGCCCTGCCTTCTGCAGAGCCCCTGCTCCACACTGTGCCGTACCCGTGTGTTACAGGCCCCAGGGCCCCTCAGATGGCTGTTTCTGGTGCCTGCCCAGTGGCTGCTTGTCTGGAAAGGCTTGGAAAAGAGGAGGGAAGCCCTGGGAGGGGGGGAGGGGCAGGTAGAAGGTAGAGGCTGGACCAGGAGCTGAGGACTGAGCCACCCAAGGAGGTGGAGGCTCCTCGGAGCCTGAACTGCCACTCTCCCCGCCCCAGCCCTGTTTGCCCACCCAGTGCCTTGCTGAAGACCACGGCCGTCTGCATCTGCGTCTCTGAGGTCCTAACGTGCACTTGCTGCTGTCCCTGGGTTGGGGGGTGGGGGAGCAGTCACAGCCCAGGTGAGCCAGAGGTGGGGGAGGCGCCTAGAGGAGGGAGGGGGTGAGGAGGGCCTCAGGGAACCTGGGCAGGGGCTGCAGGCCACAGCTGTGAATGGAGGACAGGGGCTGAGTGTGGGCTTAGTGACCAGGGTGGCCAGGCCAGAGCCTAGTTGGGGGCATTGGATGAACTGTGTGCCGCATGGCCCCACTAAAAGGACATGGGATTCCAGGGGTGTGGGTGTGAGTGTGGGTGTGTTTTTGCGGGTCCGGGGCTGGGGGTTTGGGGTAAAGGACTTTCCCTCTCGCAGTGGTCTCTCCCTGTGATCTCTCTCCACCCTCAGCCCTCCCTTCTAGTCTCTGAGCCTCAGAGGGGCCCAGCCCATGAGGCAGAGGGACTCTGTGGGGCCTCTCACCTCCTCTGACCGCAGTCCTTTTTTGCCTCTTCCCATTCCTTTCCTACCCCTGGACTAGACTCCTCTACCCCTCGGGGCCCACTGGAGAGGCCCCTGCTGAGACAGCTCCTTTCCTCCACACCAGGAGGCCCATCCTTGCCCCCAGGTCTTCTTCCTATGCCTAGTAGATGGGGCCCCACGTGAGCAGAACCCTGCCAGAGCTCACCCATTGCCCCACACCCTGCCCCAGCTTCCGCTGTGACTTCAGTCAGAGCCAGGAATGTGTGAGGGGAAAAGAAACGCAGGAGCCATGGTGCTCCCAATTCACTGGAAGTAGATACTCATTCAACCTTTGGCACTGGACAAACCAATAAACCAAACTCTGGCACCACATTAATTTTGGCCTTTGCTTTGTTCTTGCCCCACCTGGTCCAGGTGCAAGGACCTGAAGTGAGAAGGGCCCAGCTGTGGGAGGGATGGGGCAAGAGGTCTGGCTGTGAACACCAGAAGCTCTGAGTTCAAGATAAAGTCAGGGGACCAGCAGAGGTCAGGCCTTAAGAAGGGTTAGAAGCCTCAACCCTCTAGGGTTGCCTTGTCCCTCAGAATTCTGCCTAGGCCCTGGCCAGGTAGCTTGGTTAGAGCATCATCCCAAAACACCAAGGTGGCAGGTTTGATCCCCAGTCAGGGCACATACAGGAATCAACCAATGAATGAATAAGAGGAACAAAAAAATCGATTTCTCTCCCTTCCCCTCTTCCCCTCTCTCTAAAACCCATTTTTTAAAAGATTTTATTTACTTGTAGAGAAAGGGAGAGAAACATCGATGTGCAAGGTAAATATCAGTTGCCTCTTTAAAAAAAAAGATTTTATATATTTATTTTTAGAGAGATGGGGAAGGGAGGGAGAAAGAGAGGGAGAGAAACATCAATATATGGTTGCCTCTAGCACACCCCATACTGGGGATAGGGCCTGCAACCCAGGCATGTGCCCTGACTGGGAATCAAATTGGCGATGCATTGCCTCGCAGGCCTGCACTCAATCCACTAAGCTACACCAGCCAGGACACAATCAGTTGCCTCTTGCACGCTTCCAACCGGAGACCTGGCCCACAGCCTAGGCAGGTGACTTACCAGGAATCAAACCTGCGAACTTTGGCTTTGTGGGACCATGTCCAATGCACTGAGCCACAGGGCTAAAAATCAATTAAAAAAAATTTTTTTAAGGAATCCTTCCCTGAGACCCCCTCCCCAAATGGACTTTCTGGTATCATGGAAAGTGCTAGGGGTGAGCTCTGGGGACAAAGACTCATAAGAGGCCTCCAGGGAAGAGAGGTTAGACTGCTGGGCAGGGCTGAGGAGTTGGGTTGCCATAGTTGCCATTGTGCCCAGAAAGGCTAGAAGGAGGAGACAGGTGGGTTGAGGAAAGAGGTGGAGCTAAGAACCACCCAGAGGCTCATGCCTGACCCTAGGAACAGAGAAGGAGGACAGGTACCCAAGGACTGGGGCTAAAGAAGCATCTCGTGGCCTCAAAAGGGAGGGGTTGGGTGAAGTTGGTGGACAGACTGAGGGAGACTATAGGACATGGGGTCTGAGCCCTTGGGAGGTAGAGCCCAGGCCACCAGGGGCCAAGGGACATAACTGGCTGGGACTGAGACCCTGGAAGGCAGAACTCAGGAGAAGGGAAAGAATGGCAGAGGAGTAGAAGTAGCATCAAATAAACAAAGGAACCCTGATCAGTGTGACTAGTTGGTTGAGCATCACCCTGCAAAAGGAAAGTTTGCTGGTTCAATTCCCCATCAGGACACATGCCTGGGTTGCGGACCAGGTCCCAGAGTGAGGGCGTGTGAGAGGCAATCGATCATTGTTTCTCTCCCTCCATTTCTCCCTCCTTTCCCCTCTCTCTAAAAATAAATAAAATCATTTTTTAAAAAGAAGATAAACGTATGCTAAGCGAAATAAGCCAGGTGGTGAAAGACAAATACCATATGATCTCACCTTTAACAGGAACGTAAACAACAAAACAAAGAAACAAGCAAAATATAACCAAAGACACTGAAATAGAGGATAGGCTGATGGTGACCAGAGGGGAGAGAAGAGGGAATTTCAGGGGACATTGGGAAGGGTTCACGGGAACAAACTTAAAGGACACATGGACAAAAACTAGGGGGAGGGTGGTAATGGGAGGGAAGTGGGGAGGGTTGGGTGGGTGGGCTGGAATGGGAGTAAAAGGGAGGAAACTGTACTTGAATAATGATTAAAATAAAAAAAATTTAAAAAGAAGATAAAGGAAACAAATGGGGAGGGAGGAGGGAGAGAGAAGGAGCAGAGAAAACCGTGCAGCCTGGTGGAAGGAAAAGGGAGGAAGCAGAGCTTGGACTGGCGTGGGGAGTGTGAGTAGCCCCAGCCTCTGGCCCCAAGGTTGGCAAAATGTCCCTACACCAGGCTTTCCTCTCCCTTCTCTGGCATCACAGGGCTGTCCTTCAGCCACACTTGAGCCAAGCTGGCCTAGAAGGTTCACAACTGAGGCTGCAGTGGAAGTGAGGCGTGAGATGCCCTGTCCATGTCCCCTGGAATCCTCCAGTCAACAGCCCTCTCCCAGTCATTCCTGTCACCACTGGCCTCTGAGCAAATGGGCCACTTTCTCTACCAGAAAGGAGAGGAAGTCTCAGGGCAAAATTCAGGGGAGAGACTCCTTTGTTCTAGAAAGGTCTCCAGAGTAAGATGCTGCAGTCTCACTCTAGCAGCTACCATATGGCCAAGAAAGAAGGTTAGGCCTCTCTAACCTAAATCTCATTTGCTGCTTTACACACACACACAGTCACACAATTGCACCCACAGTGACCGGTAGTAAGGGGGTCACTGCCAGATGCCACATTGCCAGGCTCTCCATGCACATCTGGGCTTCCCTGTGTCAACTAAAACATGCTCAGATTTCTAAGCACATTGGTTCATCGCCATGGAAACAATCCGTCTCCTAGAACTCTGCACAAGGCCTGGCCACTGTGCTGCAGGGAGAAGAAGAGAAACGAGATGGGGGGTGACAAAAAGAATGACTGGCAAGCCTCCTGGGAGGAGGTTAGTGGGAAACATCTGGGTCTAGGTAAGCCCTTGCTGTCTCATTTCCTGGGGCCACCTGCCCTCCCTCCCAGTGTCTCAGTAGATCCTTCTAGGCCCGGAGAGTGGGATAGAAAGATCGGAACAAGGTGTACAGCTAGAGCTTTGTGGAGGGTGCTCACTAACTGCCTAGGCCCTCCTCAGTGGGCACTGAGGATCATTAGCTCTGGAGTCGGGGCTGAGGTCTAGCTCTGTGTCCCACACCCAGACCATCTAGGGGACAGGGGACAGCCTTCCAGGCCTGAGATTTCTGGCTAGTATGTTCTCAGGCCTGGAGCTTCTTCAGCTGGCTCCCTCTCTCTTTCTTCTGTGTGCCCCACACCTGGGGAATCTGCTTAAAATGGGATTTCCAGGCTGTGACGTCAAAGGAAAGCCAGCAGCTCCAGCCTGTGCCAGCTCTTCCTTGATCAATGTTGCTGAGCCTAGCCTTGCTTAGCCTGGAGGAAAGAGAGGGACGCAGAGGAGACAGGGACCCTGGGAACTCTGGACCATGGTCCTGTATCTGTGGAACCTAGTTTAAGAGGGAGAGACAGTTTGGTTTGCAGGTCAAAATCCCCTGCTGGCTTCCCCACTGCCTTAAATTTCAACCAATACGTGATCATCTTGCTCCAAAATTCCCCTAATTTTTCTTCTCTGAGCTGGGTTAGGCCTGCCTGGAGGAAGAGGGCACCTCAAGTCTTATATCCATGTGGGTTCTACCGGAGAGCTTGTCGCTTGTCTAGGCTGGAGGCAGCAATGCGTGGGAGGGATGCCTGCAAGGAGCAAAAAGCCCACTGGGTGGCGCAGCTCCCTCCCAATACGGGATTCCCTGGCGCCGGCAAGAGGCAATTTTTCCTGCAGCCTGTCTGCTTAAAATGTGAAGAGCGGGGTGCCTCATGCTTCACTCCCTGGAGCTGGAGGTTCATGAAGAAAGCATTCTTGTGGGTAGACAGCGCAGTTATGGATTCTCAAGCAATCGCTTCCTAAGCCCAGCCTGTATGCACACCATCTGCCTACTCCTCGCAGAAGGTCAGACCAGAGGGCAGGTGTTCTCCTTGGGTGAGGATCAGGCATCTCCTGGGAGCAGGGAAATTACCAAGCTGACCCAGGAAAGGCCCTGCAACCCAAGGGACCCAACCCGGGCTCCTGAAATGGCATCTAGAGAGGCTACTGGAGCTGATTTCAGGGTCAGGTAAGTAGAAGGACCCAAGGGACAAGGAATTTGGAGGAGCAAATTGGATCCAGAGGAAAGGAAGCACACCTAGTACAGGATTCCCTGAATACGAGCCCCCCATGGGCACAGTGGCAGTTTCAGGCCTGCTCCGGTTTCCCCTGTCCTCTGCCCCTTCACTTATTTTCATGTGTATCATGGGGTTAAAAAAAAAAAAAGGGACAGCCCTGGCTGGTGTAGCTCAGTGGATTGAGCGCGGGCTGTGAACCAAAGTGTCGCAGGCTCAATTCCCAGTCAGGGCACATGCCTGGGTTGCAGGCCGTGACCTCCAGCAATCGCACATTGATGTTTCTCTCTCTCTCTCTTTCTCCCTCCCTTCCCCCTCTAAAAATAAATAAATAAATAAAAATATTTTTTAAAAAAAGGACAAAAATGCTAATCTCCAAACCCTAGAACCCCAAGGTATTTTTGCAGGAAGGAGCCCAGGCTGGGGATTCTCAGTAATCTACCTTTCCCTGACCTCTTTCCCCAATTGACCCCACCAGCCCTGCATACCTAATGAATTACCCTCTCCCTTTGTCCTAGCCAGATGAGTGATCAATAAATAATGCTGCCTGAAATATTAATGGCAAGTTTTACACCAGGATCCCTTAGCTGTGCCTGTCACTGGGGAACTTGGGAGCTGACAGAGAAGTGCATGGCCCCCAGAGAGCTCTCCCCTGTCTCTGCCAACAGAAGGTCTTTCTTTGCCAAGATTTCAACCTGTTCCCATCTCAGCCAGAATCATGATTCACTCCTATCAAGTAAGAAGAGGGAAGGTCCCTCCGAGACCGACTCAGTCGGGCCCCCGGGAAGGATGGGGTAAGCTAAACCAAGCAGAGACCCTGCTTCATACAAATGCCTTTTATGATACAATTGAGATCCTATTCCCTCTGTTCTATGTCCATCTTGGACCTGCCAGGTCCAGCTTTCTGAGTGGTGGCTCAAAAGGAGACCTGCAACTGCCCTGCACCCACTTCTGACTATTTAGAGCATGAGCAGAAGGGACTTACGTGCTCCCAGACTTCTCTGGCCTAGATCACTCTCATCTGGTTTTCCTTTCCCTGGAAGGAGGGGAGGAGA